CAACGAACAAGCTGAACAGAGTGAGAAAAACCCCTATGTGAGGCACCCTTGTCTATTACATAGCCATTGAGGAATGCCTCAGTGATCGTCGCCGCCGACTGATTGGGGAGCGGCCAGGCCATCGGCCATCGTGAAAAATACTCGACTCCCACTAGCAAATACTTATTTCCACGAGGGGTAGTGGGAAATCGACCAAGGATGTCCAGAGCAACCAGTTCATTTATGCAGGATACCTGAATGGACTGCAGTGGTGGACAACAGGTTTCGACGGCGGTTTTCGCCACGCACACTGCACACACCCTTTCAACAAATTAGCAACATCTTCCACCATGCCAGGCCAGAATAAGTCCAGCTTAAGTGTGGCCAACGTCTTATGCACACCCAGGTGCAACAGTCACTCTTGCACCGCCCAATTGACCTTACCCCTCAGGGCCGTGGGCACAACAATATTATAACGGCACAACCCTCCATCCCAGTGCATGAGCAATCTGCCTCTGAGAATGACAGAGGCAACACCCCGTCGATCCCCACCCCCATCAGCCTCCTTGACACGGCGTCGAAATTCAAGCAGGGAAGTGTCCTCAACCTGGAGGCGCCCCCATTCTTCGTGGTCCAACCCAATTATGGCGTCACGCGCCACAAGATGCTCGGCTATCTCAGAGGTTTCAACCTCGGCCGACGCCACAAGGGGAGGGGGCAAGTCCTCGGTGGGTGGCTTACAGTGCTCAGAGCCCGAAGAACACACGCACCCATCACTGGTTGGTAATCGCGACAGGGCGTTCGTGTGTCGGGAGCCTTTGCGATAAGTAACAGTAAAGGAGAACTTCCAACCATCGTGAAAGTTGCCCAGACCACTGTTCAATACGCAGCGCATACTGTTGCGCTGCATGGTTAGAGAGCACCTCAAACCATACAAATAGGGGCGATGCTGTTGCATAAAAACACAATAGCCAACAGTTCCCGGCATGTGACACAGTACCGTTGTTTGGCCGGAGACAGCACTCTGCTTGCATATGCGATAGCACTCTCGATGCCATTGACAACTTGAGACAGAACTGCTCCATTTCCGGTGTTAGAAGCGTCTGTATCAAGGACGAACGGCAAGGAAAAGTCCGGATAGCGGAGGGGAGTGGTGTTCACCAAGCCATCCCGAAGCACAAATAAATGCGGCCTCCTCCCCCCAATGGAATTTGTTACCCTTTGCCGTCAAGGTGTGGAGAGGTTTTGAGATAGTAGCGAACCCGGCGACAAAACAGCGGTAATAGGACACAAATCCTATGAAGCTTCGCACCTCCCCCCACTGACGTGGGGGTCGGCCAAGTACGAATACACGTGGTTTTGTCCGGTTGCGTTGCAACTCCTGATTTACTGATGATGTGACCAAGATGTCGAACAGATGACACTTCTGTGGTTTAACTTTTAGGTTGGCCGCACGCATTTTAAGAAATGCAGCACATAACCATTTGAGAACTGGTTCTAGCTGGTCTCCAGCTATTAATCACTGGAACGTAGCCGGTGTGGAATGAAGACCCAGCAGAAGCCGATTAAATTCGAATAAGCCTTGTGGTGTACGAAAGGCTGTTTTGGGCTTAAAGGCTTCATGTAGTGGCAGCTGCCAAAATCCGAATAGGAGGTCAAGAGTGGAAAAGAACTCTGCTCCTGCTCGAGCATCCAGGGAATCGTCCATCCGAGGTAGAGGGTACGCATCAGCAACAGAGATCTTGTTCAGCTTATGGAAGTCAACACAGAAACGCAAGCTACCATCCTGCTGTTTAAGAAGAACAATAGGGGCTCCACACAGGCTGGTGGATGGTGAAATAACATCTGTGGCTAACATTTCTTCAACCGCCAGCCATATGTGTTCTTTTTTTGTAGGGCTCAGCCAGTAGAGATTCTGCCAGATTGGAGCGGCGTCACCCGTATCGATGCGATGACTCAAAAGCGTCGTGCGGCCGATGTCAAATTTGCCTTTGCTAAATACGGTTGAGAATTCACGCAAAAGCGGCCTCAATTTTCCCCCCTCTTCTGGGCCTCGGACAATTCCGCATTTTCCGATCCGAACAAAGCGTATCCATGCACCTCTCATCAGAACCCTTTTGCGGCTGCGTATTTGACGAGGCCACCACACTGCCAATGATGCTTCCTTCACGAAGCACTAGCGACGCATGAGCTAGCACGGTTTCTTCTTGAATAACCGATGTGTCTAACCCTGCATTAAAGAACTGAATGAACGGTTCCTGATCATTTGATACCAACGTCTGGGCCCCTACTAACATAAACCCACGAATGGCTTTATTAGAGAGTCCCAAGAATATTCCTCCCACAGTCGCCTCCTGATCTAGCGGCTTCCGCAATCGCAAAGGGACCAACATTTGCGCGCCAGGCGGAATCCTTATTGTTTTACGTGCAAGTGCTTTCACGGTAACATTGGCTGCATAAGCGAGTGGGAGAAGGCAAAAATGCCATTCGACGGCCTAATGGTAATTTAAGGCGCCCTTTGTCAATTACATTTTTCAGGGACATCTTCCCCAAAAAGTCAGTGCCGAGCAGGCAAGCAATAGCAAGGGACGTCGATACAAGAACTGGTCCCGTCAATTTGACATCCGCATTGCACACCTCCGCTGTTATTCTCCCAATGATGCCTAATGAGCCGCCGTTTGCGGCGAAGCACAGAGCTTTAACAGAACATAGGGTACGACATTTAGGGGACAAGATGTTATAAATCAACTCGGAAATGATGGTCGCTGACGCACGAGTGTCAACGAGAATTCTGATTTCAACCCCCTCTATCCAATAACAGCAGACGAACCTGCGGTCGCGGCAACCACTCTATGGGCCAACTTCGACCACTGACCCGGCTGGAGCGGCCAGTCGGCCCGATCAAAATCCGAACCCACCCCGCACTGACGCACGACGGGAACGAAACCCAACGGAACGAGATGAGTGAGGTGGGTTCAGGGGCTGAGTGTGTGATGTGTCGCCATCGTTCTTCCTCCCATCGCACCATCCCGTCCCCTCGCCAGTCTCCGCCCTGGGTCGATGCGCAGGTTAGGACGGGCTCTACGTCTTCGGGTGTATCACGTGCCGTTGCAAGAGCTTTTGCGCCTGGATGCATCTTGCAACCTTAATAGACGATAAATGTTCGTCGTCGTCGACAGCTGGCAGGACGACATTGAGGTCCTTGGCCAAAGCCAGCAATTTCTTGGGGACCAGTGAGTTGAGTCCGTTGTGGTCCATCTTCGAAAAGGCAGCCTTTGCTAGCGCCAAAAGTGCGCTACGGAAGGCAAGGGGCGTCTCGGCCTCCCCCCTTCACGCAGTGAACTTGTGGCGCACATTCGACGGTGGTTCGTAGATCTCCACCATTTGGTCAAAGACTTGGTTCAGCATCGCCCTCTCGGATGGCGGGATGGTGAGGAACGCCGCCAGGGCATTGTCGTCAAGAGTGGCGGGTAGCGCTCTCAGCTCCTCCGCCTCCATCCACCCCGCTATTAGTCTGAAACCGCTGCTTGAAGGCCACCCAGTCGCTTCCGGCGGCTGAGAATTCTTTCACGAAGGGCAGTCGTCGCCGGAGAGATGGGATGTCCACCAGCAGCTCTTTCTCCTATGTCAGCAGTTCTCCTATTGTATCTGTTCCACCTGATGACGGTCGCTTGCCCTACATTGTGGGGATCACAAAAAGATCACCAAAATCTTGAATAAACACAAGATCCAGGTCCGATTCAACACATTACATAAAATCCGTGATCTGGTTCCGCCTGTAAAAGATGTGATTCCGGACATACAGTACCCTGGCGTCTACAAACTATGTTGCCTCTGTGGTAGTAGTTACATTAGAGAAACCAAACGACATGTCTCGGACCGCATTCGTGAACACAAAGCAGACCTGAAACATGGTAGGACCAACACCTCGGCCATGGCAGATCACTGTTATAATTCAGTAGGCTCACATGACATTGACTTCTCCAAGACAGAGGTTCTATGCAAGCCATCTGGCTACCATGAGAGATTCGTTCATGAGGCTATCCACATTTACAAACACAGACAATTTCAACCGAGAAGATGGATTCTGGCTTAGCAATCATTGGAAGGATTTCATAAACCATTTCGGGTCTTAATTGATTGTTCTCGCTTATGGTGGCTTTCAGACCATATCCATTATTTTCATCTCCCCCCTCCTCACTTTCCGAACATAGATAGACTCGTCCATCTGAATAACTGCTAAATCGCTGTCCGTGGTGCTAACGTTGAAAAATACGCCACTTTTTTCAAATTTTCTTGCTGTAGTTTTCACACCTGATGATGATTGTTTGTGTTGCAGTCGAAACGTCGTGAGAATTGTATTGTTTTATATTTTTATTTTTTTATTGTTTCTCTTCTACATGACTTTACTGAAAGAACCACAAATATGAATCCCTGCAATCACGAAAGCTTTAAATCAAAATTATATATTTCTTCAATAGCCAAATACAACTGAAATTCTGTACGTAGAGTTAAGGGTTATCATTGATATTAAATCTACTAGGGCCTCCAGGCATATTATACTGGTCACTTTCCTGCTATGCCAGGCCAAGAGTTAATCGTCAATAGTAGCAAGTGCCTTTAAACAGCCTGTGTGTTAAATTGGGGGTTATTTTTTTTTAATCTCGTTAATGTTTGAGTGTTCTTGTCTATGTAATATGTGAATATCACGTGTGACTGTGTATATATATACATTTCTATGCTTCTATGCTGACTTACATTGTGTGGATATTCCTGTTTTTTGTCTGCAGCTGCCAGTTCCTCTTCCACTTTGCTGTACAGAATTGGTCAAATGGAGCGAAGACAATCAGCGGGAGAGAAACTATTCAAGTGCACTGTGTGTGGGAAGGCGTTTGCACATTCATCAATTCTTCAGGTCCACCAGAGAACTCACACGGGAGAGAAACCCTTCAAGTGCACTGTGTGTGAGAAGGCATTTGCAATGTCATAGCATTTTAAAACACACCAGAGAATACACACAGGAGAAACACCCTTCAAGTGCACTGTGTGTGGGAAGGCGTTTGCACAGTCATCACATCTTAAAACACACGAGAGAATACACACAGGAGAAACACCCTTCAAGTGCACTGTGTGTGGGAAGGCGTTTGCACAGTCATCACATCTTAAAACACACCAGAGAATACACACAGGAGAGAAACCCTTCAAGTGCACTGTGTGTGGGAAGGTGGTTGCAGAGTCATCACATCTTAAAACACACCAGAGAATACACACAGGAGAAACTCCATTCAAGTGCACTGTGTGTGGGAAGGCATTTGCACATTCATCACATCTTAAAACACACCAGAGAATACACAGGAGAAACACCCTTCAAGTGCACTGTGTGTGGGAAGGCATTTGCGCAGTCATCATATCTTAAAAAACACCATCGTAGAGGGAATTAACACAGATATGCCAGGGGATACAGAGAGACGGAGCATCACACTAAATCAAACAGGGTTTATCACTATCTTAAATTTCACACTCAATTTACAATTTAACAATCTTTGAAATAGTGTATTCAACCAGCCTATGCGTTAATTGTGTTTTAACCGACCGTTTGTGTTGCTTTATATAGTTTACAAATTTTGCTAAACCCTGTTTGATTTAGTGTGATGTTCTGTCTCTCTGTGTCCCCTGGTATATCTGTGTTAATTCCCCCTACTTAAGGTCTGTATATATTGCGGTTATGTGTTTCCTCTGCATGATGATGATTGCTTGTGTTGCGATCGAAACGTCGTATGCTATTATATAATTTTATTTTATTTTTATTATTTCTATGTGACTTTACCGAAAAAACCAAAGAGTAATTCCTGCAGTCACGAAAGCGCCTAATCAAGTTCGAACCACCTTTACGGGAAGGTATGAATTCTGTTGTCTTTGTGTTTCTCTGCTGGTGTGTCTACCTTTGTGTCTTGAGTTGGGTTTGTGTCGCTGTGTTGTCTCTGCCTATGGTTGTGTGCCTGGGGACCTCTAGGTGTGCGCTGCTGCGCATTGGGTGCCTGACAACTGTGTGCCTGATAACTTGTATCATGCAAATTTGTGTCCCATTGTCTGTGGACCTTGGCCCTCCTACATCGCTCGCCTTCTTAAAGCCTCGGGACAGATTTACTTTACTCCTTAGCTGTGCGCGTGTCTCCCCTCCAAAGGTCTCTCTACGGTAAGTATTCTATCACTATCCTAAATTTCACACTTAACTTACAATTTAACAATCTTTGAAACAGCGTATTCAACCAAACCATGCGTTAATTGTGTTTTAACCGACCGTTTGTGTTGCTTTATATATACAAATTTTGCTAAACCCTGTTTGATTTAGTGTGATGTTCCGTCTCTGTGTCCCCTGGTATATCTGTGTTAATTCCCCCTACTTAAGGTCTGTATATATATCTGCGGTTATGTGTTTCCTCTGCCAGATGATGATTGCTTGTGTTGCGATCGAAACGTCGTATGCTATTATATTATCTTATTTTATTTTATTTTTATTATTTCTACATGACTTTACCGAAAAAACCAAAGAGTAATTCCTGCAGTCACGAAAGCGCCTAATCAAGTTCGAAGGTGACAACAGTTGGTGCGATTATTCGCAAATGGAAGAAACACAAGAACTGTCAATCTCCCTTGGCCTGGGGCTCCATGCAAGATCTCACCTCGTGGAGTTGCAATGATCATGAGAACAGTGAGGAATCAGCCCAGAACTACACGGGAGGATCTTGTCAATGATCTCAAGGCAGCTGAGACCATTGTCACCAAGAAAACAATTGATAACACACTACGCCGTGAAGGACTGAAATCCTGTAGCGCCCGCAAGGTCCCCCTGCGCAACAAAGCACATATACATGCCCGTCTGAAGTTTGCCAATTAATATCTGAATGATTCAGAGGACAACTGGGTGAAAGTGTTGTGGTCAGATGAGACCAAAATGGAGCTTTTTGGCATCAACTCAACTCGCCGTGTTTGGAGGAGGAGGAATGCTGCCTATGACCCCAAGAACACCATCCCCACCGTCAAACATGGAGGTGGAAACATGCTTTGGGGGTCTTCTTTGGTTCTTTCGGTAAAGTCACGTAGAATGAGAATAAAATAATAAATTGATAAAATAAAATAACACAATAATATTCTCACGACGTTTCGGCCACAACACAAGCGGCCTTCATCAGGTGAAGGGACGAGACTGTCTGGTAGGACAGCGCTGGAGTGAAAAAAGCCACGTTCAGATCACGACCTTTAAGCTGTGTGAGAGGAAACAAAGCGCCTTGACAAAAGGAATTAGCATATAATTTAGCATTGAAATGGCTGAGTGATTAGCTTGTGACTGGTCACAGAAATGGCTATGTTAAAAGTTAAAGCATACACATCCGCAGAGGCACCCCTTGACAAAGGAATTAGCATACAATTTAGCATTGAAGTAGCTAAGTTAAAGCATACACATCCGCAGAGGCACCCCTTGACAAAGGAATTAGCATAGAATTTAGCATTGAAATAGCTGAGTGATTAGCTTGTAACTGGTCACAGAAATAGCTATGTTAAAGTCAGAGCATACACATTCACCGAGGCACTTAGTACAAATCAAACAGGAGAATTTAGCATTGAAATAACTAGGCGAATTTAGCATTGAAATAACTGAGTGATTAGCTAGTGACAGGTCACAGAAATGGCTATGTTGAAGTCAAGGCCTACACATCTGAGCTATTCACAGTACTATATCGTGAACCAATAAAAAACTAAAATATAAATTACCTTAATGTTATCAATAAACTCTATATTCTCCAATCAGCTAAGCTACCAACAATAAGTCGTTATATATCACAATGCTATATGGCGAAAAAATGGGTGGATTCTTACCCTCAACTTTAGCAACACGGATAGCTACGGGCCCCGTTCAGACGGACGAGTTCATCCATGGTCGGAACAGAGGAGGGGGAGAGAGACAGCCGCGAGGCGCTATTATACTCCATGTTGTAAAACATACCATTAACCGTGGTGTGAGAGGTATTAAGAGTCAATGCTGGAAAAAGAGCTGCGGTCTGAAGGTCATCGTAAAATACAATTAATTAAGAACAGAAATGGTTTAAAACATCTTTCCAATGGTTACTAAGCCAGAATCCATCTTCTCGGTTGAAATTGTCTCTGTGCTTGTATATGTGAATGGCCTCATGAACGAATCTCTCATGGTAGCCGGTTGGTTTGCAAAGAACCTCCGTCTTGGAGAAGTCAATGTCATGTGAGCCCACTGAATTATAACAGTGATCTGCCACGGCAGAGGAGTTCGTTCTACCGTGTTTCAAGTCTGCTTTATGTTCGCGGATGCGGTCCGAGATATGTCGTTTGGTTTCTCCAATGTAGCTACTACCACAGAGGCACTTTAGTTTGTAAACGCCCGGGTACTGTATGTCGGGAACAGCATGTTTTACAGATAGAACTAAATCACGGATTTTATGTACTGTGTTGAATCGGACCTGGATCTTGTGTTTATTCAGGATTTTGGAGATCTTTTTAGTGACCCCTGCAATGTAGGGTAAGGTGATGGTTTTTAGTGGCTCCACAAGAGGATCCTTCTTCATGACTGGAGTGATGGCTTTGCGGATTGTGTAGTCGGAGTAACCATTAGCCCTGAGAGCCTGGTGTACGTGCTTGAGTTCACTGGTAATGTGTTCCTGGTCAGAAATGCATTGGGCTCTATGGTATAGAGTCTTGATGAGGGAGTTCTTCTGGGATGGATGGTGGTGGGAATCCGGTTTCAAGTAAGCATCTGTATGGGTAGCTTTCCTGTAGACAGAGTGGCTCATTGAACCATCATGTCTCCTTTTAATTAAGACATCCAAAAAGGGTAGTTTGCCATCTTTTTCGACCTCCATGGTAAATCTGATGGCTGGGTGTATGGAATTGATGTGGTCGCGGAATTGGTCTAGAGCAGGCTGGCCATGTGGCCAGATGACAAAGGTGTCATCAACGTACCTCTTCCATAAGGTCGGGCGTAGAGTGGCAGTCTGAATGGCGTCAGTTTCAAATTTTTCCATGAATACGTTGGCTACAACCGGAGATAGGGGGGAGCCCATTGGGGTGCCCTCAGTTTGTTTGTAGAAAGTTCCATTCCAGGTGAAGTATGTGTTGGTTAAGCAATGTCTCACCAGGGGGGGGGTACATCAGTATGCAGTCCTTGATGAACCAGGTACCGGGACTTGGTGAACAAGGACACCACATCAAAACTGACAAGCAGGTCGTCTGGGGACAGGGAATTGCCTTTGATTGTCGATACCAGGTGAGTAGAATTTAGTACCGCAGAGGTGGTTTTTCCAGTTAAAGGTCGCAGTATATCAGCAAGAAAACGTGCCAGTTTGTAGGTGGGGGAGTTGATAGTAGAGACGATGGGACGAAGAGGTGTATCTTCTTTGTGTATCTTTGGAAGGCCATACAATCTTGGTGGTCTGGCAGCAGAGGGTTTCAACGAGAACTGTTTGATCTCATCAATTAATGCTGTTGAATCAGAGATGATTTTGTTCGTTTTGGTGACAGCCTGGTCAACGTATTCATGGAAAAATTTGAAACTGACACCATCCTGACTGCCACTCTACGCCCGACCTTATGGAAGAGGTACGTTGATGACACCTTTGTCATCTGGCCACATGGCCAGCCTGCTCTAGACCAATTCCGGGACCACATCAATTCCATACACCCAGCCATCAGATTTACCATGGAGGTCGAAAAACATGGCAAACTACCCTTTTTGGATGTCTTAATTAAAAGGAGACATGATGGTTCAATGAGCCACTCTGTCTACAGGAAAGCTACCCATACAGATGCTTACTTGAAACCGGATTCCCACCACCATCCATCCCAGAAGAAGTCCCTCATCAAGACTCTATACCATAGAGCCCAATGCATTTCCGACCAGGAACACATTACCAGTGAACTCAAGCACGTACACTAGGCTCTCAGGGCTAATGGTTACTCCGACTACACAATCCGCAAAGCCATCACTCCAGTCATGAAGAAGGATCCTCTTGTGGAGCCACTAAAAACCATCACCTTACCCTACATTGCAGGGGTCACTAAAAAGATCTCCAAAATCCTGAATAAACACAAGATCCAGGACCGATTCAACACAGTACATAAAATCCGTGATTTAGTTCCATCTGTAAAAGATGCTGTTCCAGACATACAGTACCCGGGCGTTTACAAACTAAAGTGCCTCTGTGGTAGTAGCTACATTGGAGAAACCAAACGACATATCTCGGACCGCATCCGCGAACATAAAGCAGACTTGAAACACGGTAGAACGAACTCCTCTGCCGTGGCAGATCACTGTTATAATTCAGTGGGCTCACATGACATTGG